AGGGTGAGCTTCAAGCTCCAAGCCTTAAGCAAGTATGATATCAAGATGAAGCTTAATAACTTTTTGGTTTTAACTGTGCTTGCTTTAATGATTAGCTTCTATCTGGAGTGATCATGGTTTTTCCAATTATGATAGTGATGATTACATAAAATGAGTCTTATAAGTAAATATTAGCCCTGGTGGTACCTGGTTAAGACAGAAACCATAAAGATGGTCTGTAGCTTGATGAAGTTTGGGCAGTACTGATTCTGGTGTCAACTCACACCAGATGCCACCATGCAGAGCTCAGGGGAGCCAGGCCCAAGGAAGCCAAGGGCTTTGCCCAGGGTCATGGGAGATGGGTGTGGCAGAAGCCTGGCTCTGGGATGCCTTCTGGCCATGGCTCCCCAGCCACAGCACACAGGAGACCCCTGAGAATGGCATCAGTATCTCACAGCTCCGAGTAAAAGCCTGTGAGAGCAGGTGCCAGAGAGCCCTGGGGCAGGGAGGGCTGCTGCACCAGAAATGGGAAAAGGTGGGGTAAAGGGAGAAAGTGGGGGACAGGGACAGAGGCTGAAGCTCCAGCTTCTCTCTGTGGCCAAGAAGAAAGAGCACCGGGCTTGGAGACAGACAGGCTGGAATTCTCAGGCAGCTTCCAGCACCACTTAGCTGGGTGACTGCAGGCAACTTCCTCCACCTCTCTGAGCTTCTATTTCTTCAACCGCAAAATGAAAACATCAACACCTCTGCCAGGGGGTTACTGCACAGATCAGTAGCATCGCAAAGGTGGGAGTGTGTGGTACACAGCAGGTGACTCATACATGCTTGTTCCACATTCTTTTGTAGACCAGCTAGCTAGGACCACCCAGAAGTCTGAGTCCCAGCAAGGCCAAAGGACCAACAGAGAGAGGGCTCCAGGGGGATTCTACGTTAGGATCTGACCTCTCAGCACCATGTGTGGCCTCTAGTGAGAGCTCAGTAACAGTTAGCTCGTGTCATCATAGTGACCTTAAATGGGATCCTGGAGGGCCACTGCTCTCAGAGATGAGAGGCCTTTGGCACCACCACCATATGGGCTTAGAAGCTGAGCAGGTGCACACAGGAGGGGCTCATGGGGGAGGTGGGACAGAGAGAGAGTCTTGAGCTGTGAGGAGGGCTGAAGGGGGGTGTCCAGGTGGGTGGAGATGCAGGGGTGAACATGACAGGACAGGGGGTCATGCAGGCCCCACGGGGATGGGGGATGTGCTTGGCGTAGCTGGAGAGGAGAGGTAGGGGCAATGATGGTGTTGTTGGCAATGGGGGTGGGGGGCGCTGTGTTGCTGCTGAGGAGCCGATCCAGTCTGTGACGGGCTGGAAAATAATAACTAGTGGATGGTATGGTACTGCTCCCTACAAGTTCATGAACATTTTCTCTTCACCCTTCAAACACCTGTGAATGAGGCATTAGTAACCCCAACTTACAAAGCAGAAAGTGAGGCTCAGAGAGGTCAAGTGGCTCACTCAAGGGATGGAAGCAGGAGAGGAGCTGGGACTCAGAGCCAGGGCTGGGCAGCTGCTGTGGTCTGAATGACTGTGCACCCCCA